TCAAGCTTGATTTGGTCTAGATGGTTGGGCTTGAGAGAGTTCCATCTGTTGGTCCAATTGTTTCAAGTTGAGATCTCTTATCAATCTCTTTAGCATCAATTTTTTTAGTTACTTGAGTTTGAAGCATTTTTCATTGTTTTTACCAGCCAGAATTAACTGATATATATATATATATGTATGTACTTATGTATATATCCACAGACACATACATACACCAATAAAAGAGAGGCAATGGAGAATGGAGGTATTTAAGTAATCAATGCCTTATTGGTCGTGATTCATAGTATTACAAGGATAAAATTACAGAAAAGAAAAACTGCTGCAACATTCAGCTTCTCCAACTGGGTTGGAAATTACGTGTTAATTATACATATAAAAGTGATTTGAGTAATAAATTATCCTCTTCAAAGAATACATCAAAACCAGGAATTCTTGAAATCAATGCAAGAGGTAAGTGACAGCAAGAGCTACTAGAAGGAGAATGTAAGCAATCCCTTGATCAATTGCAGTACCTGCAACCAAACAAAAAAAGAGTTAAGCTCGTCTTCCATTTTCTTCCCGAGAAAATTAAGACAGAAAATCTGAGGCCGTTAACGCATACCACCACTGGAAGGAGGATCGGCTGAAGGAGAAGGAGCTACGGTCTGCCCTTGAGTCAGCTGCAACATCGCCGTTAATAGCAAACCAATAATTGGAAAAACCATCATCTTCAACGAGCGACTCATTTTTAATCGGCAAAAATACGAATCTTCTAAGATTAATCGGCAAAACAGAAGAGAAATCGGAAAGTCCTAACCGACCTTTTTTAAAAAAAACTTTGAATTGGAAGGCGGCGATCGTGTTATCAAAAAGTTGTTGAGAAATTAGGGGCCGTGTCTAGTTTATATATATATATATATATATATATATGCAGAGAAGGGGTTGGGGGTTTCGGGGAAAGTGTCGGGGAGAAAGGAACGGTTCGTGGATGCGGGCGAGAGCTTTTGACTGGTTGGCGGCGCGTCAACTCGGAATTGAAACGGCGTTTGGGTTTTTCCGTTTGTTAAACGGTAACTTATGTCTGTATTAATGACTTCGTGAAAAAGGAGATGTGACGGAGGGCCAGGGTGGCCGTTTTAGGTAAGGTTTCCACGCGTTTGTCCCATTTTTGTTTTACTTTGAAGGTAAGAACTAAGAAATGGACCAGTCCACTTAACATCCGCCTAATTTGCGTGTGTATATGTATGTCAACGCCGTTAGTTTACACGTAGCACATGTTGATGCTGGATTGTTTGGGAACGAAGTTTAATTAAGATTAAGAGAATATAAGAATTTAAATATGCCTTGGTAATAATATACTAATAATACAAAACATTTTGTACCAATTAATATCTGTCAACCATACTTACCGGTTAATATTAGTATCTATTGATATAAATTATGAATTTTAAAATGTAAAATTTTTAATTA